GAGGCGAGAACCATGTGGCTCTGTTGGAAATGCAACGCCTTCCACACCTCACTTAAAAAAGGCACAAGCAAAAACGATCCAACTCCACCAAGATGCTTCCTCCTCTCTCAAAGAAGAGTTTGCCTGAGTTTTCCTCTTAGTGCCCATGTTTCTGCCTCTTGTACTCAGTTTTATCTGGGTTTCCCCCAATGAGTTTAGGCTTGGATTTTAAGTTTCTAAATTTTTGAGGGATTAGATTGCTGGGAGAGAGACACGCTTAATTTCCTTTCCTTTTTTGGTGACACTATCTTTGGCTGCGAGTTGCCCTTCCTTCTGTCCCACTCCAAATGCCTCCTCTGTCCTCTAAGGACTCTTTCTCTTCTCCATGAGCCACTCTCAGAACCCTGGTGGTTGTAGCTTATTCAAGCAGCACTGGAAGCTGCAAATGGATATCCCCTGAGATAGCTCCCAGGACAGAGCTGATGCTTGAACTGGATCTTGGAGCAGAATCAAAAATGCTCTAAAGGGTATTATTAGAATAATTCTTAAGTTCAAATAGGGATATTAGAGAATACTTATCAATGTTATATCTCCTGATTCTGATCTTTCATAGTGGGTAAGTAAACTAAAAAAAAAATTTTCGCAAATACATGATGAAGTAGTCAGGAGTAGGGAGAACAATGTGTGCAAGTTACTTTCAAATGACAGAAACTGTGTGTGTGTGTGTGTGTGTGTGTTTCTATTGTGGGAGAGGAAATAAAATGAATGTGGCAAAATGCAGTTGGCACATATAGGTAAAGGACACTTTTTGCACTATTCTTACAACTTTTCTGTAAGTTTTAAATTATTTATGTTTCTTAAATGAAAAATAATGTTGTTCACTGGTATCAAATATTTTCAGCCCACAAGATTTCAAACAAGGATTTACCTTCCCTTAATGAGGAATGATAAAGTAGGAAGAAAAGTCATTAGCTTTTTGAAAACTGTAGAATATCTACAATTTATAGTCCTAGGAAAAAACACAAGACGAAGAGCCAGATTTTGTTTGTGTTTTAAAACTATGAGCCATATTATACTCCAAATATTCTGTGATATTGGGTATAGGTAGTGAAGGTTCTAAAATATCATTTAGGTTACAATTACAAATGGCCCTTTATTTAGAGGATTTAATAGCTCATGATTGATCTAGGAATATGGCTACTTTAAGACGAAGCCAGTTGTGTTATGATACATACATACAGACAAACATTGACCCCAATCTCACACAAAAGCACCTGAAGCAGTATGAGAGGGACACACAAGAAGTATATGATTGTCTCTGGCACATCTGACATCACTCATCTCCATGCAGTGCTACTTTCCTGGCTGGGGCACAGGAATGGACGGATCTTCACAGAACGGCTGCCTCTGGTAACGTCACTGCCAAGTGTGAAGCGGTTCCGGAGACGGCACACCCCTGCCTGGTGCCGTCTCCTCCCCGCTCTCCTTGAACAGCACGCAGTTCAGAGGAAAGAGAAGTGAAGGAGTCTTCTCAGAGCGGGCAGGGAGTTTACATAAGCCTTTGCTTTTGTAGCAGAAGCAAAATGTTTTAAAACAGCATCAGGATCTATCAGTTTCTCCTGCACTTTCTCTCTCATCCTGCAGGACAAGGTGAAGATGGGATCTAGAACTTTCTGAACAAAGCCTCACGGGAAACAACTGCCGCCCCCTGGCCAGGATGACCAGTCTCAGCTCGGCGGGTCCTATGGAAACGGGGCCCTCAGAGACGGAGCAGCACGCAGGGAAGTGGACCTCACTCCCTGACCCTCGCGGCATTTTAGTCACAGGCCATGTTCAAGAGTTCTTGGAGAGGGTAGTTTTTAACTGACAGCAACGAATACAATTTGGGAGTGCAGATTTCAAATACACATCACAAAGGTAGGCAAATTTAACATTTTTTTTAAATTGCCATTATAAATACAGTTTTTAAAATTATTTTAACTTCTCTTGATTCTTCCAATGTGCAGGCTCCTTGGCATTTATGTTCAATATTTCCCTGACTTATATCTTCAAGAAGTACATTAACGTTTGGGTAGCATTTTAATACTGGTTTGGGTTTTTTCCCCTATGAGGAAAACTAAAAAGAGCTATTATAATAAGTATAAAATTGTAATTAAAAAAAGGGTAGAAAGTTACTATGCAAGATGAAATCTGCTAGACGCTCTTTAGAAAACAGAGCCAACATCCTACACCTCTTCCCTGGCTCAGTGACGAAACGCTCGGCTCTGAACCACCCCATCTGCTGTTCTCCTCCTCATGTGAGGATGTCCTTTCAGTAGCAGTTGCCCTGGGCAGGGACAGTGACATGATTAACTATGTTATCTCCAGACATTAGCACATTCCTGCCAACCATGGGGGTTTAAATATAGCATAATGCTGATAGCAGCACTCAGACTCGTACTGCAGGAGGAGCACCAGGCGTTCTGCTGTCAGACAGCAGCAGCCAAACCAAAATCCAGCCTCTGGACCGTCAGTCTTTGTCCCCCTCCCTCAAAAGAAATAAAACTCTAATTGACCTTATAGATGCCCAGAGACCCTTAGCTGTATGAAAGGAAAAGGTAACAAAACAACACTGGGGAGCTGAGGTGCACATGGCCACATCCATATCAAGGAAGAATGAATAATTTTGTTCTAAAAGTACTTAAGTGATACATATCTAATTCCATTACATTCTGCTTCAAAAAAAGGAAGTTCTTCTGCATGTTCTATAGAGATGCTGCACAGAATCAAGATGCACATCCAAGATATCCTGTGTATAAGAAGTCAATACCCATATATACACTTATGCGGAATTCCTTTTATTTGTCTATACAGTAAATTTAAGCTATAATTCAATTACATGATTCCGAACAGTCTTCCTAGTTAGGAGGCATAAATGCAATGCCACTAGAATTTAACCCCTGTTAATATAAAGGGTTTATTAAATTTCTTAATCTCATAAATTTCTAAGATTGGAAAAGGTATACTGCAGACATTTCATGATTTTTTAGTCTCTATTTTCCAAAGGATTTTGTTAAAGCATCTGTTTCCCAAAGGGTATTTTGAAGTAAATGAAGAATAGAAAGTGGATAAAGAAGATGTGG